TCCCCAACCCCCATCCCTGCCGGCAGTGGGGTGGGGAGAAGGAGGGGAAAATCCCGCCCGGCCTAGGGAGGCCCCGCTCCTGGGCTGAAGGGACCCCTGCCACTGCCTTCCTCTATGGCAGGAGGAGACAGGACGTGGCCAGCGTCAAGACAGGTTTCAGTGCCCAAGGATCTGGCTGAAACCAAGGGAAACTGAGCTTAAAAGCAGCCCAGCTCCTTAATTGGGACGGCTGAGTAACCCCTGTCGCTGTGAGGGGGGGCTCCGGCCCCAACACCCCTGCCACAATGGGAAGGCCTCACCGCCCTGGCGCCAGCCCCTCAGCCATGCTCCCTCCACCCTAAAGCGGCTGCTGGGCGCTTGGGGCGGCTGGTCAGGCCATGTCCCAGCCTTTGGAAAGTCTCAGTGCTTTGGAAAGGTTAAAGTATTAAGTGGCATTTGGGGAAGTCGCTCGAGGAAGGGCAAAGGCAGCGGCACCCGGCGGGTCGTTCTTCGTCTGGGAGTGTGGCCAAGCTCTCTTACTCACTGTAATACACCGTGTCAAAGAGCTGGCTCCTTATTAGACACTGCTTTTAAAAAGTGTTTCCCTTGGAAACGTAATGGTAAATTTTCTTCACCAGTTGAGGGCTGCTTCCTTACTTTATTTTTTTTTTCCCCTTTCGCTACTTTTATATGAAGCCGTTCTGACATCCCCCACCAGAGAAGATGTTGAATGCTTTTAGAAAAATATTTGTTCTCATGGAATTTATGATGTGATCTGCTATTCAAATTTACGGTTAGCTTAATATGGTAGGTTAGATAAAATGTCTCTTGATGACATCGTGACGATCACATAAAGCCATACTTTCAGGCATGTTTGGACAGCTTATCAAAAAGTGTTTGGAAATAGAACGAGGGTATAATAAGATGCAGGATAGAGTTGGAAAGATCACCAGGTTACAAAAAAACCACACAACCGAAACCCTAAACTAAAAGACAAATTTATAGGTATGCTATAGGAGTGTCTTCATTTCCCCCAGGCAGAACAGACACAGACTTTGAGGTCGGACTTGAAGAGGAAAGGTAAGATGTACTTAGAATCACGAGAAAAAAAAGTGTTCAGTGTGTTCACACCACTCCGGTAGACAAAAAAGGAGAAGAGGAGAGCCTGCAAGCAGGTTTCTCTTCCATGTTTTTCTCCTTTCAGGAACCTTACTTCCCAGGAGAGCAGTGTGCCCGCTGGTTCTGCTGGCATTGTACCACCCTGCTGAGCGCAGGCACGGCTTGGTGAAGCGAGGAGCAGGCTCCTTTCCAAATGCTTTCACTGATGGTGTTGATGCCATCTCATGAGGACAGCATGCCACATAAAACAGTTCTCCATTCAGCTGGGCCATCCCTGTGCCGTTGACCCTAACTAGCTATGCTCCGTGGACTATCATGGAATGCGTATTTATGGAGTCACTCACGGTAACTACAGCCATTGATCTCACGACGAAACTCTTTCCACACCAGCATATCTCACTTTTTCTGTCTGCTGTCTACTGGCCTTATTTTTCACGCTTTTACCATCCTAGGCAGGGTTTACTCATGCCATCATTTCTGGGGATAAGAGCTATGCTGCCTTCCTCTGTTTAGCATCACGCTATTTAAATGAATATATCGCCCATGTACACTTTGGGGGGGAAAGAAAGATGCCTTTTAAATTTGGCAGACAAAAGTTGCTGGAGACAGAAGGAGATCTTTCTGCAGCTGATTTCTCTGTCTCTGCCTGCTACTGAGCAGTTATAGCTGATTTTGGTTATTGTTTTCCCTCCTGATTTCTGAGACCAAACATTTTCACACAGCCCATTTGTCTTTAATTTATTTTCCTTTTTGCCTCAGAGCACTGGGAACACAAGGGGCCACAAACACTTTGTGGCAACCACCTTGCCATGAAATGAAAGCCCGAATTAAAGCAGGGAGGCTCAGAAAACACTGCGTAATAAGAACAGCCGGGAAGTTATTTCTGTCTTCTCAGATTTTAAAAGCTACTGAACATACCTGTGATTATAAGTGAGCTGTAGGTCAACAAAAATGGCTGTTAGTGCTTTCATTATAATCTCAATTGTTGGGAGTTTACATAGCACAAACATTTGCTTTGTGGTGAAAGTACAGCATGTAAGCCTTTTGATCTGCAAGCAGTGAAAAAAAACCAACAACTTTTTTGCTTTGTTTTCATTCCCTCCAAACACACTTTACAAACTGGGTTACAGCAGAAGCGATCTGATGTTTGAGCTATAAAACATGGCATGAATATAGATGACATTGACCACTCCCACTTTGCTTGGTTTGGGAGAAAAATCCTTTTAAAAGGCACGATAAGATCTCTTCTGAGTGTGCTCAGTAGCAGACTGCACTGTCTCTGCACAGAGATGAGAAGCCTGAAATATGGGCTTTACCTCATGTACAGCTCTATGATGAGTAATAAGCAGAGACACTCCCTCTGCTGCTCTGAGACCTGTGAGAGTGCAGAGCGAGGCTCAAAATATGGTGAGTGTGAAGATTTTGAGATTCTTCAGTTCACACAGGGCAAGGGAACAAGGAAAAGTCTCGAGTTGCTTCTCTTTTTTCTTTTTTTCAGTTAAAAGGGCTCCTCTTCTCCCACAGAAAAGAAAGGCAGCCCACTTGTGGCTTCTCCAGGCCTTCCCAAAGAAATCAGCAATGAAATGCTGAACAGCTGGGCTCCTTCTTGGCACTTCACAGACAGGGGGGTGAGAGAAAAAGATTTCCAGATACTAAAGCAGGAGCCGCAGCTGCTGCTATGGCAGAAGTTTTCCTGGGAACAAGCAGGTAGGGAGCTCTGTAGTGCCTGGACAGGCTGAAATAGCAGCAGTGGGCACAGAAACAGGCGTGATGGGCAGCAGCATCACTCTCTGCCAAACTCCGTCTCTGCCTGGTACCTGAAAACGCCAGGCAACGTCAGCTCACATGCAGTAGAGGCTGTGGCTGCCCAGTCTGTATCAAATGACAAGCTGTTTCTTTAGAAAACCTGTCTGTGGGTTTTCCTAATCTGCTGAAGCACAATGAAACACAACGTGTTCCACTGTTGGGCTGTTTGTCATGCCTCCTGAGCTATGGTACAAACAGTAAGTAATCCTGTATTTGCAGATGATACGATAATACAAAAGGAAGGCATCTTTAGGTCATTTAGGCATTCCTTAAGTTTTTTTGTGCTTGACTTGGAAGGATGAACTACAGAGTTGATTACGATCTTCCTATTCCAGTGCCCTGCCAGAGGACTCACTTTTTGAGACTGCCGTGGTTTCACCCAGCAGGCAGCTAAACCCCACACAGCCATTTGCTCACTCCCTCCCAGTTGGATGGGGGAGAGAATCGGAAAAAAGGTAAAACTCGTGGGTTGAGATAAAGACAACTTAATAGGACAGAAAAGGAAGGGAAAATAATAATAATAATAATGACGTCACATGGTATGGAATATCCCTTTGGCCAGTTTGGGTCAGCTGTCCTGGCTGTCTCCCCTCCCAGCTTCTTGTGCACCTCCAGCCTCCTTGCTAGCAGGGCAGTATGAGAAGCTGAAAAGTCCTTAAGTTAGTGTAAGCACTGCTCAGCAACAACTAAAACGTCTGTGTGTTATCAACATTATTCTCATCCTAGATCCAAAACACAGCACTGTACCAGCTACCAAGAAGAATATTAACTCTATCCCAACCAAAACCAGGACAGAGACTTTTTCCTTGTTTCTCTGGTCTCTTTCTCCCACACCAGCTCTCCAGACGTTTGGTCTCACACATTTACTCCAGCTTTCCATTCTGGGGATGTTTACACACAGTTTATATGAGGATTAGAATTTAGTCTTACGCATTTTCCTAGAGATACAGAAAACTCACCCTGGTGCAGAACCTCACCTTCCCCCAAATGCTAGGTATTTCTGAAAAAACATAGGTATGCTGAAACTTCTCAAGCTTAGAGACTTTTTTTTTTTTAACATGTAATTTTTTAATAGAGGAAAAATGTTTTGCCTTTCTCTTCTTCTGATAAGTTACTGGCACATCAAAGGTTGACTTTTTTACTAGAATGCTTCTTGAACCCCGAAAAGCACTGCCTTGCCAGTTAAAATTTAGCATTGTTACAGGCAACCAAAAATATTGGTCTTATGACAGACAGTGTGAGGGAACTGGGAGTACGAGAGGAAAACACACCCAGGAGTAATCAACAGCACCGTTTCCATAACTCTGAACACCTGTTAAGCCCAGTCAGGTGTTGGCACATTAAATACCAGCTCTGAGAGGACTATTTTTGCTGGGGTTGAGGGTCTGTCCACCTTGGGAAGCTGAGGGTTTAGACAGGCTTTGCTCCATCCCAAAAATATATCGCAGAGGAAGGGGTTTATTTTGTTTTTAGTGATTTGTTTTATTTTCTTTTTCCATCTCTTTCCTATCCCTAAGGGTAGTGTGAGTGTGCACACATATGGGGGTGTGTGTATATATATTTACCAGAAAAATCTTATACTCCTGGCTTGGAGTATGGTTTTGATGTTTGCTGGAAGTTTTTTCTCTTCCACTGAGGTAATGTTTAAAGTTACTGACACTTCTTAATAATTCCTGATAATGAGCAGAATAATTCCTAACAATGAGCAGAATTAGGCTTTCAGTTTGTATCCAGAAAAGGACTTTAAAGCTAAGTAACTTAGTTCAAGAACGTATGCTGTGGATACCTTAAATCAATTGAGTTGATGTCTTAGCCTACTTCTCTGTCTCTCAGGTGGCTTCATTGTGCAGGTGGTCAAGTTTAGTTCATGTCTTCCGGCAGCTGTGCTGTATAAGCTGGAGGAGACCGGACTATCCTTGCTGGTGGGGTACCAGCTATGTTTTCTGACTGGCTAATGTGACAAAATGGGAGTTAGGAAGAACCCACATGCTTAAGGAGCCGACTAGGCTGACCTACAGTCAAGAGGATTTTACCTGTGAGTGATGCAGTGGGTAAAAGCCTGTGGACTGTTCTCAGCTAACAATATTTCTACTATGCATAAAACTTCTACTTTTCTATAGTCTCACGACCTCCCTTAGTCCTAGATGTGGCAATTTCTGTGTGTATCTGAGATGCTGAGTTTCCTGTCTTGTGCTATTGTTTCATTAGCTCTGTAGTTGGCATAAAGTTTTCAAGGGAAGGTGGCACCTGGGGTTTTTAGGGTGTCTTTGTTTCTGGTTTTTGGTGCAACAGCCCTTTGTTCTTCCTGATTTTTTTTTTTTTTTTTTTTTTTGGTGGAAGGAAGGAAGGCAAACTAGGTCTCCTTTCTCCCCCCCTCCTTTCTGGCTTTATTATTAGGGTCTCTGATACTATACTGAGTGCATCCAAATTGCTGTGTTTCTGTCTTAATAGTGTTAATACTTTGAATATATGTAGATGAATACAGAAGAGAATTGTGCTCTATTCTTATAACAAAGCAAGTAACCGAAAAAATTAACTTGCTTTATCCTTTCTTATTGTATCCCTATCTTAAATATGTCAAACTCTTCACTGTTCTCTTCCTAAAGGTTAGACAGTCCTAGTTTTAGCAGTAACATAGAAGATGGTGTTTTTAGGCAAAGTAAATCTGAATTTTAGCGTATTGGGGAATTTTAAGCTTATATCAGCAGGCTAGCATTTAAAAGAACTTTAGCAAAGCTTGGAGTTCTAAATCATTGAGCTGTTATACTTATTAGGGGTATTATACGATAACTTCAGTTCCAGTATTTTACAAATGTGTTTTTGAGATTAAAGTATGTCTGTGTGTTCTAGCTGAATAAAGGAAACTAATTGTGCTAATTCAACACACATTGTTTGAAAATCATTTTGTTTGGTGTGTAGGCTAGAATATCAGTTGGATATCTGGAGGCTGCTACATCTTTGATGGGGGTTTGTTAAACACACCTGTAATGCAGATATTAAAATGTACCCTTCAGTTCTGTAAACAGTCTGACCTGAGGGGAAGAAGGGAAATGTAATAATAAGAATACATTTAGAAGTGTCAAAATTAGTGCTCAGGTGCTTAACTTCTGGCAGTGATATTGCTGATACAATCTGTAGATGTGCTAAGTGCCTAGTGCTCTTATTAGTGTCAATAAAATAAAGATACTAGAGCAGCATAATTATGAAATTTACTCTTCCTAATAATCTGATTAGGATAACAATGCTACTTATACTTTGTCATCCTAGCTGATCTTTACATGTGAAAGTGTTGAAGTAAGAGGCCAATGTTTTCTTCTATCTGCAAAGTAGAAATACCATTTTTTTTAATAGACTGCAGCTGTGGACTCTTCAACTGGAGAACACAAGTGATTTGGAGGCAAATTGCGAGGCTTTAATTAGAACACTAATTCTCCCCCCCCACCCCCACCCCTCTCTCTCTGCACCC